GGTCACTCCCAACTGCCCCCCTCCTGGCCTGGTCGCCCCACACAGCCTGCTGCTCAGTCGTTTGGTCGTCCCTCACTAACCCCCCTGCCGGCCTGGTCGCCCTACTCAGCCTGTTCGATTGTCTGTTCGGTTGTTTCAGATGTGACGGCCCCTGGCTCTCTCTCTCTATACATATATAGATGTTTGTCTAACACCAGTCTCTAAAAATGATCTTACAGCCCTGGCTGGTGTGGCTCAGTGGTTGAAACGTCAGCCCACACACTGAAAGGACTTGGGTTTGATTCCTGGTCAAGGGCACATACCTGGGTTGCAGGTTCAATCCTCAGCCCCAGTTGGGGTGTGTGTGGAAGGCAACCAACCAATCAATGTGTTTTGATGTTTTTGACATCGATGTTTCTCTCTCTCTCTCTCTCTCTCTCTCTCTCCCTCTCTCCCTCCCACTCTCTCTAAAAAAAATCAATGGAAAAAATATCCCAGGTGAGGATTAACAAGAACAAAAAATGATGTTACAAATCGCACCCAGAACCACATTTTGTTTGTATTCAAACAGCGGCCCAGAAATAATTAAGTTGGCAGCAAGGAAGCGTGCTGGCGAGTCCAACGGACACTCCTTCTAAAATAATGAAAGCACCAGAAAATCTAATGTCTATTGGATACACTCTCTCCCAAAATGACTTCCCTGTGTGATCAATAAAGATCACGGATGGGACTTCACATTCGTGCTCAGGCGGGTGTGTCTCACTCTAACCACTCGTAGAAACCCCCCCCCCCAACCCTGGCACACCCCGTCATCACCGCCTCCCACGCACGAACTGAGAGAGTCCTGCCCACGGTCCAGGGCAGCTAGACACTCGCCCCCAGACACACGGGACCCCGCACAGCTGCCAGGCCACACAGCCACCAGGAAGGGTAAGCGCAGGGCTGGGGATCAGGGTCCGCCTCAGCATGTGACGGGCTTGTGGGAGGACCCGGGGCCACTGCCCGGGGAGCAGCGGGGACTGTCCGTCCACTGGGTAGGGGCCCTTCTCCTGGAGAGCAGAGTGGAGGGAGAGGTGGTCCCAGCCTCCCCATCCTCCAGGTCACGGCCTCACAGACATCAGGCCTCACTTCCCAGCCTCGCAGCGCACCTGCCCCATGGGCCACGCGGTCTCCGTGGACTCTGTCTCAGCTCTGAACCGGGGGCGGGGGGCGGGGGGGGGCCACGTCTCGCTGAGTCGTACTTCACACTCCTGGCCTGACCAGCGGCCTGTACACGTTGCAAACAGGACCTCACCACCCTCTGGACATCCCAGGCCCAATAGGAGACGATGTCCCAGATCCAATAGGAGACGATGTCCCAGATCCAATAGGAGACGTGCTCACCCTCTGGACGTCCCAGACCCAATAGGAGATGGACGTGCTCATCCTCTGGACATCCCATACCCAATAGGAGATGGACGTGCTCATCCTCTGCACATCCCAGGCCCAATAGGAGATGGACATGCTCACCCTCTGCACATCCCAGGCCCAATAGGAGATGGACATGCTCACCCTCTGGACGTCCCAGACCCAATAAGAGATGGACAT